AAAATCAGCTGCCCCCCAAATGCAATAGCGTTACATGGGCATGAAACGATCGCCAAAAAGTAACCGATAGTATCGAAATTGTGACGTATGTTGCGAGCTGCCTTCTTATTTCGCAGACATTCACTTTCGCTCACGGTACACTGTTATCGCACTGAAACGACGAATCATGGTCGTTTGCCAAGCAATAGGTTGCTATAATGACTTTTCTAGGACAAAGGGTAAAAGTTTTTACTCAATACCGGACCCCGTGAAAGAACGGAAAAGGTGTGCAAAATGGATTGCTGCGCTGAAATCGGCGAAATTCAGCTTGAACAATTACCAATATAATAGAAATCATGTCGTTTGTAGCGACCACTTTGAACCACGGTGCTTCGAGCATGATCTGGAAGCGGAGCTATGCGGTACAAGACCTTTGAAAAATCCTCAAAGATGATGCTATTCCTACCATTTTCATACATCGAGGACCGGTTAAGATGCGCACATCAAGTGAAAGAAGGATTTCTGGAAGACGTACTAAACAGGTTAGTTATATTAATTATCTTTCCGTTTTATAATTTCATTTTACCGGGCTTCAAGAATCAACCTCCCGCTGTATATTTATACTGTGCAGCACGCGCGGTTGTCGTCTGCTAGTGCTAGCTGGTACCTTCCAATACTAGCGCTATAACTAAGCTAGCTTCGCGAAGCGATGGGATGGTACCTAGATATATGTTTCAAACAGCGTTTCAATTTGATTCAAAATAATACTTGTGATCGTAGATTAAATGTACCTTCATGAATTTAATAATGTGAAATTCTCAAACTCACACGTAGCTAGCTAGAGGAGTCATTACAGCAACCTATTGCTTGGCAAAAGACCATGATTCGTCGTGTCAGTGCGATAACAGTGTACCGCGACCGAAAGTGAATGTCTGCAAAATAAGACGGCAGCTCGCAACATACGTCACAATTTCGATACTATCGGTTATTTTTTGGCGATCGTTTCATGCCCATGTAACGCTATTGCATTTGAGGGGCGGCTGATTTTCGATAAAAAAGTCGATATATCTTCGTTATGTGATCATGGATTTTAATGAGACTTGTATCATTCTTCATGGTATTATTAGGTCTATATCGTCAGCTAAAGAAAATCCTGGAGTGGACTTTCCCTTTAAATGTGCCCATACGTGTGTGCATAGCACTTGATGAGAGCCAGAATCATGCAAAATGAATAGTCTGTAAAGACTTTTCATTTCTTAAGAGGGTACCGTGACTAACAAAAAGGTAAAATAAAGCTGCTCCAGAGAAATGTTTTTCAATGCATTTTGAAAAGCGCTGGACAATTACCTATAACTTACATCCTTCGTAAAATTAGCAACCACACTGGCGTTGCATAAATTATAATAAAAGGGAAATGTGTAGTAATGAGGAAGATAACGTGCAATAGTATTTGAAAGAATTTGGGGTCATGCAGGGGATATTATGCGCTCGTAGCCATCTCTCAATGCGTCAGATCGTCTTTTGCTATTGAATCCTGATTGTCCACGGGGGTAGTTGTCCTCGGGGGTAATTGTCATCGGGGGGGGGGGGGGAATTGTCCTCGGGTGGTAATTATCATCGGGGGGGGGGGGGGGGGGGGTAGATGTCCTCGGGGGGGGGGGGTAATTGTCCTCGGATGTAATTGTCATCGGGGGGGGGGTATTTGTCATCGGGGGGTAATTGTCATCGGGGGGTTATTGTCCTCGGAGGTAATTGTCATCGGGGGGTAGTTGTCATCGGGGGGTGATTGTCGTTGGGGGGATTGGCCTCGGGGGTAATTGTCCTCGGGGGTAATTGTCCTCGGGGGGTAATTGTCCTAGGGGTAATTGTCCTCGGGGAGTAATTGTCCTCGGGGGTAGTTGTTCTCGGGGGGGGGGGGGGGGGTGGTAGTTGTTCTCGGGGGGGTAATTGTCCCCGGGGGGTAGTTGTTCTCGGAGGGTAATTCTCCGGGGGGTAATTTTCCGGGGGGGGGGGGAATTGTCCTTTGGGGGAAGTTGTCCTCGGGGGTTGATTCTCCGGGGGGTAATATTCCAGGGGGTAATTGTCCTTTGGGATTAGTTTTCCGGGGGGTATTTTTCCGGGGAGTGATTGCCCAGGGGGTAATTGTCCTAGAATCGACTGGAATGCTCTCCAGGTAACAGGGAGTGAAAAATCTGCATGTATTGTGTGCGAGCATTCAAATGACTTGTGTAACGACAAATCCATGTGCAGAGACATCGTCACTGCATTAAGTGCTATTCAAACCCTGAATTCTATCATTATCATTATTATTATGATTCATATTATAATCAAAATCTTACCATAGGTTGTAGCATAAACTATGAAAACGTCCGACTTGGATGTTGTTACTTTGTCGGTCTCAGCTTGATCATGTTCTACCATTTCTCCTCCATGGGCACCTGCGTAGGTATAATGACAGGGTAGGGAACAATCTTATGACTGAAAGACTTCAAGTGTGTGCAATCATTTGAAAGTGATTCACGTATGAATGCGGGACCATAAGCTACACACTTTCAAGGCTCGTTCATAAATGACGCGGCAAAACCACAGCGTTTTTGTTCTATTGGTAACGTAAAGTGTAACACGCTTCAAATGTCATTATCTTTTAACCCAGACCTCAATAAATACACGCAGCTTCTAGTTTGTTGTGCGCAGTTTCCATTTATTTTACCTATTATAAAAAGACCTGCGTAGCTTATGGACCCGCATCGCTCATGGACACCCTGGCTACGCACCATGTTTTTGCTTTTGAAAAGAAAAGAAGACAAAAAATCCAAATGTCAATTCCATTAAATAAATGAGGACATAATGCGGGGAATCGAACTCAACACCTTGCATCTTGTAACCTTTTAGGTGCTGCATTACTTGGCACATCTGCTGGTTTTCCAAGAGTGGCAATCGGCACAAACAATTCGTCGCTGTTTTCACGAAGTGACGGTAGTGAAAAAAAATTGCATTCACTTTGCGTTACGATTTTCCTCAATACCGTCACTTCGTGAAAACAAGGACGAATTATTTGAAAATGGTCCCTTTATGTAGCACATTACTAATGAGTATATTCGAAGACCTCGTTCCAATAAAGAGACACACTACTGGACTTTAAAACCTCTCTGTTTCCTCATGGAATTATCCAGTAGACCCATTAGTCAGGTCAATATACGGTAAAAAACACCCCAACCCCCAAAAAATGCAACAAAAGATTTTTCAACGGTTTCTAGTAGTATTCAACCTCAGGAATAACATACTAAAAGTAAACCAAAATCGAAGATTCAGAAAACTGTTTTTTTTTCATGATGGCGTCCAAGAAGGCCGCCGATACCTTAAAATGGCCATAAATCACTTATTATTCATCCTAGAGACATAATTTCGGTGTAAATCTCATGGTTTCGGGGTCAAAGAATCCATTGAGACAAGTAAGAATGGTTTGTGATGGTCTACGAAACCCCAAAATCCAAATTTTTGCGTCCAAAATGGCCACCATTAAATAAAAATGGCCATAAGTCACTTATTATCCATCCGAGAGACATAAGTGATGTGTCTATGCTACGGGTTTCGGGGTCATATAATCCATTAGGATAAGTTAGAACATTAAGCAGTGGTTTAGGAAACCACAAAATCCAATATGGCGTCCAAAGGGCCACAAAACCACTAAGATTTCTCAATAGAGGGCGCACTTTATGAACAGGAAATGAACTTATAATGTTTTTCTCTCACCCTAATGGCGTCACTTCCCCCCCACCTCCCCCCCCCAAGAAAAAGGGTCAATTCAACTATTGATAGGTCATTGTCAACACTGAGGGAGGGGGCCGAGGGTGGGGGGGGGGGGGGGTGACAAAGACAAAGTTACAACTAATAATGATATCTAGACACACATTCATAATACCTACCATACAATTAAAAATGTTTAAAGACACTCAGTAGTCAGCACTTATAGGGAATTCGACACCGTTCGGGTGTTTACCCAATAACAGGCGTTGTCAATCACCAGGGTTAGCCTTCAGTTGTATGACCATTAGACCTTATGTAATGCTTTGCTTTCCCCTCACCCGAACTACTCTCGGGTATTCTCCGAGAGATTAGGGGGAATTCTTGACTGGCCTACGGGTTTGATGTGTGCGGATTTGCCGTTAATGGTATTTCCACCAAGTCTGGTGTCAGCAAATTATGGCCTTCTGCACATGGAACTGACGCGTGACTCCCTTTAAAACCTCGTGTTGTTCATGTCATCTTATAGCGAATACACATGCAGATCTTCATGTTCCTTCATTTTAATGAGGAACGTACTTTAGTAAGGAAAAATCATCTTCTGCTTATATCAAGTGACTCGTTGTGGCATACATCAAGTTGGCAAGGTCCACACACACACACTCTGTTTTAACTTGTAGTCCGTAACCTCTGCATGTATAGTGAGGTGTGCTACAAGCAGTAAAGAAGTCGCAATGAATCAACTTAATAAGATTACTAGGTGCAGCCTCCGTATGTGACATCAGTGGAACCAGATGATTGTCCTCTAATTTGCAGACCCAGTTTGTGACGTCCATATCTTCTCATTCTCCATCCATGCCCTGACTTGGTAGCCCGGGAGGGGAGGGGGGGGGGGGGTACTCACATATTAAGACATATGGGTGTGTGCCGCTCTAATGGGTTACTTTTTAACCAAAAATCCCTAAACATGGGCTTTACTCCGAGAAAATTGTATCGTAATGATGCAACTGAGTCACTACAGCGGTCACCAAACATGACAGACATTGCTTTGATACCAAGTTACTCTAAGTTAGTTACTTTGGCTGACTTGGTAGAAGGAACGTACCGTACTAGCACAGCATTCCAAAGTGAGGTTGCATTTTACAAGCTTCTGGAAGACTGCTTTATTTCCTATTCCGAATATTTAGGAACTCGGATCACAATCGGCGTAGGCATCCAGAAAAAGTGGTTGTGAGCACAGATCACGTGCCCAGGTCCTCTTCCAACTGCTTGCAATTCTACACCTTTGGAGCCTTGGCTGCATTATGAGAGTGGAAGTATAGTTCCCTGCTATCTGTTCCAAGGATATTGCGAAGTCCAGTTCCTTTCACCAGGGTACCGATTGCTTCCAGCTAAATCATGAAGGTATGGAAGCAACCTAATTGCAGTCAATCCCTTTCACTGGGATATTCTGGGGGTACATCAATGATTATAGCTCAGCGGCCTTCCAATATGCTGTTTTCACAGTCTCGTTCAAAAGGAAAGATAAAGCTACGACTCTGGGAGAGATTTCGAGAGTAAGAATTGTACCTGAACAAACCATAAATGCTGCTTTGCTTTGCTGTTTCAACGGTTCCTGGTAGTTTCAAAAACAAGGGAGCTTTAAGTAGCAGGGGTGATGAGCTTTGAGCTCAGTCCGTTCCGACCTGCACTTTTCGAGGCTAGGAATGTCTTTCGGAGGGCTGAAAAGCCTCAGCTAGCTCATGCTATAACTGATCATGCAAGTAAAGTGTCGAGTGAAGCCGTGAAAGAACACAGAACAGTATGATGGTGGTTCCTTGGTGCATCGGATACCATGGAATACAGGAGACAGCTATGGCAGAATATATAGCAAGACCATATGCTCATTTCACAACCCCCCCCCCCCCCCCACTATATGGTTCTGCAAATGTAGTTTTTGACGGCTGTGGTGGAGGGCCGTCAATTAATGATAATACACACCAGCGACGTGGGCAGAATGCCCATCCAGTTGTCAGATTCAATGCAGACACAGTAATCTCAGGCAAGAAGGATGAGTTTTTATCAAGAGACTACAATAAGCAGGGACTCATAAAACTCATTAGTGAGGAAATGATGAAGAGTAATTGCACCGTCATCTATGTATCCGGGGATGCAGATGTACATATTGCTAAAGCTGTATTGAATTCTTCTCGTCGTCAGTCTACTATTCTGATTTGAGAAGGCACTGACATATTAGTGTTACTCTTGCATTACGTGGATGTAGATAGCAGGGTACTATACTTCCGGTCTGGCAATGCAGTCAAGGCTCCGAAGGTGTATAACATTGAGCAGTTGAAAGTGGACCTGGGTAAAGATCTATGCTCACAACTACTCTTTCGACATGCCTACACTGGTTGCGATTCGACTTCCAGGATATTCGGAATCGGAAAGGGAGCGGTCTTCGAGAAGCTTGTGGAATGTAGCCCCACTTAAAAATCCAGTGCTAGTACTTTCCTTCTTCCAAGTCAGCCAAAGGAACTTATAGAGGAACTTGGTACCAAAGCAATGTCTTTCATGTTTGGTTGCTGCTGTAATGACTCACTTGCATCATTAGGATACAACTTGTTCGACAGACTCCCTCCTACACCAGCCTCCACCAAATTCCACTCCCTCAGAACATACTACCAAGTCATGGCGTGGATGGAGAGTGAATAATTAGACATGGACGTCACAGACTGGGGCTGGAAATTAAAAGACAATCACCTGGTTCCAGTGATGTGGAATACGAAGACTGCCGTGCTGCTTGTAACACACCTCGCTGTACCTGCAGATAATTATGTTACGGACTACCATGCAACAGTGTGTGTGGACCTTGCGAACTCGACGTATGCCACAATCCATAGAATGAGGCAGAAGATAATTTATTCTTACTCAAGTACATTCCTCACCAAAATGAAGGTACACGAGGATCTGCATGTGTATTCGCTATAAGATGACATGATCAACACGAGGTTTTAACATTTTAAATCGTATGGTGGGTGGGTAGTATGAATGTGTGTCTAGATGTTATTATTAAGTTGTTACTTCGTCATTGTCACTCCCCTTCCCCTAGTGTTGACAATGACCTGTCAATAGTTGAATTGACCCTTTTTCTGGGGGGGGGGGGGGGGAGGTGGGTGACACCATAAGCCTAAGGGTGAGAGAGAAACATTATAAAGTTCATTCCTGTTTATAAAGTGCGCCCTCTATTGATAAATCTTAGTGGTTTTGTGGCCCTTTGGACGCCATATTGGATTTCATAGTTTCCTGAACCACTGCTTAACGTTCTAACTTATCCTAATGGATTCTATGATCCCGAAAACCATAGCATAGCCACCCCAATTATGTTTCTCGGATGGATAATAAGTGACTTATGGCCATTTTATGTTATGGCGGCCATTGTGGACGCCATCTTGGATTTTCGGGTTTCGTTGCCCATCACAAACCATTCTTACTTGTCCCAAAGGATTCTCTGACCCCCGAAACCATGGGATAGACACCAAAAATTATGTCTCTAGGATGGATAATAAGTGATTTATGGCCATTTGTAGGTATCGGCGGCCATCTTGGACGCCATCTTGAAAAAACAGCTTTCCGAACCTTCGATTTTGGTCTACTTTTAGTATGTTTTTCCTGAGGTTGAATACTACTAGAAACCGTTGAAAAACCTTTTGTTGCAATTTTTTGGGGGTCAAACCATATCTTGACCTGACTACATGTAGTTAATATTGTCTAGTAAAATGGGCCTATGAAAATTAATGACTTACATTGAATCATCGCCTTTGGTCTGGTGGTCGCGTTTAACGACATTTCATGAAACGAAATAGGAAGATGATGCGACCTTTCGTAGATTTGGTGTCGTTTTCGGGTAAAATTGGACCAGAACATTTGTAAATAAGGGGGGTTTATGTCACAAATATTACCCCGACATTTCGTGAATAAATTGGCATGTTTTCACAAACATTCGATGTAAGCCAATATTAGCGACGACCGGTACACGCCTAAGGAACTCATTACGAATGAGTAGGCCTTTTAAACCAACAATTATCCGTGAGGTACGGATTCGGGAGAAAAGAATTATGGGACACTTGATACGGAAAGGAGGCTCGGAGACCCTTGTACTATAAAGTTCGAGGGAAAGAGGGCTTGAAGAAAAAAAAGGAGAAGAAGAAGAGTGGTATGGTTTGATAGTCCGCAAAAATTGCTTGAGGAGAGAAAATTGAAATATCTGGGAATGAAGCTCCTCGCGAAGTTTAAAGAAACAAAATAATGTACAAATACCATGATCTCCTGCTAAGAGAGGGAAGGGATGGGGGCTTGTGTTAGAATATAAACAGAGTTGAATACAAGGATACCTACCTCCACGGCAACACTGATAGAAAATCATCTTTGGTTTTCCATTCATGTTCTTCATCCCAGAAACCGTATCCCTGATAAACTTCGTAGTTACCAATTTCTTATCAGTGCATTGAATGCCTTCCTCATTGCCGTGTGCCATGAGCAAGAACACAGCAGAGCACATGCCTTTATGGCGAAGAGGATCTTCCTCGTCCTCCTCCACGAACTGTTTTAGCTTGCCTTTAAGGTCCTGTATTACCGTTTATGAAAAAAGGACAAAACGGTAGTCATAGTAGTTTTAATTTAATTTAAACAGCCTGATGCTAAAAACTTTGTGATCTAAAAATACAACAAAAATGACGTTAAACATTGAAACATTGTTTTTAAATTACATACGTAATTATTAATTATCGGCAAGGTGTTTATGATATGCAAACACAATCATAAGCAGTAACACGTTTAAAGAAACTCTAGTTTCGCGTTAGGTGATCTAAAGTCGAAATCCGATCCGTCTACCCTTAAACGCAAAGTTTATTTTCTCGAAAATATTATTTACTTACTTTAAAAAAAAATCAAACGATGTATGTGAGGATAATCATTGATTATATTTTAAATAAATATATACATTACTGCTCATGAAGTTGGAATGACAATTTTCTACCTCTTGTTATGAAATGCCTGTAACAAATTGATTTTTTCGTGATATCTACATTTATCCTCGCAGAGCTTTATTTCTAAATCTGTATTAAGCAATCTCATTCAAAAAATCGATGAAAAAATAGTTAATATCTAAATATTCACAAACATTATATGGGTCTCAGAGGTTTTGATTGTTTCCTTATATAAATTGATTTTAGATGACCAGTTCATTAACAATACGAATCGAACACTTACTTCACCTGCACACACCCACTTGCACACATTTGCAATTTTGTTTGCTTCTTAAATTTATTTCCACTTTGTATTTAGATACTTTCTAAACAAAATGTTTATACGTGACACTCTATTCTCCTTCATACTCCTATAACAGCGGCATGTACCCCCCCCCCCCCCCACTTACCGGCTGCAATCGACTCAAGCATTCTTGCTTATGATAGTTGGCCTCTGCATTTCTCTTGATTATTTTGACTTACCTCCATACTTTCAAGCTTTCAATTATATATATATATGTATACGTATATATATATATATATATGTATGTATGTATGAATATATATATATATATATGCATTTTTATGTGTGTGTATTTAAGTTGTCACTCTTCATGTGAATCGATTATATTATACACTTTTATTGTTTTTTGAATGTTTTATATTTGATCTATCAATAAATGCAGAAAAATCTGGAAAAAAAAACTGTATTCATCGGTAAAATTCTGAAAGGATATTGACTCTATTTATCGATAATAAATATAACAGTCACAATCATTTAATGTAAAGAGGTAATACAAATCTATTCCAACTTTATGTTAAACAGTGATCAACTGCTTCACACTATCATATCCCAACTGCATTATTGTTTGCATATGGTGATGGAGAAAGTATGGTTAGGCTCAAACAAATTTGATTTTAATCTGCCTCTATTTCACACTGCTTCATAATATTTTTACAATAGGAGGACTGCAGATCAACGAAACACCATGCTCTTACCTCAGCAGTCAAATCCGAATGGGTTTCGATCTCATAACCTATTTCCTTGAACACGTGCGTAATATTTTTTACATCAACCTCTGATCCCGTCCTGTCTTCAGTCATGTTCAGAATAAACATGTGCCCTTTTGTTACAGCATCCATTTTGTAACTCTGAAATTGAGAAAATATGTTTAAATGTATATTGTCCTGTTGACAGAAAGGAACAACGAGACTAGCATGACTATAGCATCATAAATGAGTCAAGGTCTGCTAGACAACACATTACTCTACTTCAACTTATTTAAAATTTTCTTGTTATTTGAACATTCATGTCGATTTAAAAGTGGGGGAGATGACACCGCATTTTAGAAATGTGGTTTGTTGAACGTTTATCATGCAGACTAGAACTCTCATTGCTTCAATTTTGAGGTTATTCAATTCTAGTAAATGGGAATACATTCTAAGGTTATGAGTTATATCTATTAAGTTTAGTTTCAAACATCGTAAGGAAATATTTTTGAGAAACCTGTTCTAGATCCAGCTGCTGTTCAGAAGGTTTAGCTTGCTTCATCTTCTGCTTGTAGTAACCTTCCCCGTCAGGCTCAACTGTGAATTTGAATATATAAAGGAGTATACTTGTATATGAGTGCTAAGAACTACTATGGAAAATGTGTTTAATCTCAATTGTACACACTAAGTAAGAAAGTTTGATATGTGAAACTATCAAGAGCAAACGACAAGAGCTCCTAGAAGAGATGGATATCTTCGCTGTGTAAGAAGTCATCATCATCATGTTCGACGCTTATACATATATTTACTTATTCAATCCCTGATGTCATGTGCGAGCGCCAATTTGTGCCGCATCATTATGACGAAATCGATATATTTCTGAACTAATAGATAATCAAATGTCGAGCTAAATTTGTCATAAATAAGTCCATTTCCATTGAATTTAGAAAGTCTGCTCCCAAGTCCATTTGCGAAGCCAGCGACAAATTAGAAAACTTCACGATTTTGTTTACAATGTCTTCGAAATTATTGGCAAGCTCATGTTTAAAACAATTCAATAAAAGGCAATGCAAACGTATATCAGACATTACGCACGTACCTTCTCCAGGGCTGGTTGTTTCAATATCAGTTCATTGCATATTTTGTAATGAAGTATATGTGTGCGTGTGTGTGTAAGAGACAGAAAGACAAAATGGCAAAAAGAATTTTCAGTTAAGTTATTCTTATGGAAGACATTCATTACTTTTACATACCTACATATTACACATGTTTGTTAATATATCGTCTGTCATACCGACATAATAATGAGGGGGAAATGGCATGGATTTCTTCAACTAATCTTGTGGGGGGGGGGGGGGGAGCGTATTATTTATTTACCCTTATTCGCGGATAATTGAATGATTTAATTTAACATTTTATATTAAAGCAATATCTTTTGTGCTACTCAGGTTACTTCTGGCTTTAAATAATTTGTTAAAATCTCATGAAGTATCACTTGATGTGGTTTATGTCATATTTTCCGAATATTCATTTTTAGATTTTTACAAAGGCCCCTTATCTCAGTCTTGGATGTTTTTTTTTTTTAGACGACTTAATATATGAATGGAAACAATTTGAATTTCCGAGGAACACACATTCTTTGTCGGGACTTCGGAAACACGACTTTACACTGATAATTTTCCCTCAATTACTGTGCCTAACCCTAACCTTAGCCCTAACCCCCCACAAAACCTATGTCTTCTTGTTCTACGTGCGTGGGAAATACATCGGAGCGTCCGGGGTCCCAAAATCAATGATCATTTATTTCGTTTTGGAAATATTTAATTGAAGAAAAATTCAGTTTGCATAACTGTTCAAAATGTTTAACTTCATACAAGTAGTTTACGTTACCGTGACTTATGAGACCTACCGTGTCATCGGTATATTTAACACATTTCACGTCATTCATTTTTCTTTGAATATAATTTAGTTTATTTTTTACTAGTGGTTGTCGTAGTAGCTGAAACGGAATTGTTAGGAACCGATGCTGCTGCTGAAATGCGCTCCTTATTTTAAAGTGTTTCACTTTTGTATCGACAAATACATTTGAAAGCTAGCTTTATTGAACAAACTAAGTATGTAACTGTTATACTTTTATCATCGTAGCGACTCAACGTTTAAAATGAAGTTTGAATTGTGAGTAGGTTGAAGAAGAGTTGGTTAGTACGTCATTTACAATAATGTGCTTGAGCACACTGTAAACATTTACTATGAATTTGGTAATCAAGGACAAATCTTTCAAAAGAGAGCTATCGTAAGGCTTCGTTAACATTCCAACTCATTAATCATGTTAACGAAATAATTAAGACGTTATAGTATACATAATTAAGATCCTATGATAATTATTTAGGCAATACTGAAAATTATTAAGGTATTGAAACTGAGCCGTGAACACTACTCCTATACAATTCTAGAAACAGTCATAATACAGTGCGTCCCAGAAAAAAAGAAACCGAGAATTATCGACGTTTTATCATAGCTTAATCACAATTATAGTTAACAAATGACCCATATTTGGAAAGCTTAGATCCTCCTCTTTCATTTGATGCAACACAGAAGACGAAAGACCTGATGCATGGCTGATCTTCAACGTAACGGAGTTAAGTCTTTTGTCAACTATGTTTCTTGCTATGGCAGGTAGCCAGTGAAAACGAACTCGTTTGATCAAATTATGGAAATGGAAGCCTTACTTTAAACAAACAGAACTTTGTTATTCCTGGCTCATTTTCCCTGATTGAGGTGTCAAATGAAAGAGCAGAAATTGAACTTTCTAGAAATGTGATTTTCTCCTTGAAATTCAGATACCGCCCGCCAAATGACTTTTGGGTTTCCTCTCTTCAAATTGATTTTAATCACTCATGCGTGAGATATGAATCATATGAGTTGCATCAAATGAAAGATGAGGATCTAAGCTTTCCAAATATGTGTCATTTGTTAATTATAATTATGATTAAGTTATGATAAAACATCGATAATTCTCGGATTCGTTTTTTCTGGGACGCACAGTATAGTGTACGTGATCTTGTATACTTCATACCTGGGAGGTTTGATTGGAACAGGCGATGGTTGTCCTGGAGAATGAAATAAACGTGCATTATGCCGCCAACGAACATTCAATTATCTGGCTAATTACAAATATTTTCAGAGCATTTTCTATAAAGGAAACAAATATTATAGACATTTCGATAAACTATATTATATATGAAATTATATGAGATATTTTTTTCCAAAGCTTTACTTTCCTATCAACAAATATATAACAAATCGTATTTTCAATAGCTTAGTTACAAAAAGACCAAAACTTGAACTTTTAAGTACTTCCGTAACAAGGTACATGAGTTTACTGTTTCATAAACTGGCCGAATGGTTGATACGAAACTCAAATGTTAATAATAATAATAATGTATTAATATAGCGCACTTTTCATATTCATGTTCAAATGAGCTTTACAGTTATATTGTTAACAGAAGAGGTGAGTTTTGAAATATTTTTTGAAGATATTGAGAGACTGCTGGTCACGAGGAGAAATGGGTAGGCTATTCCACAGTTTGGGAGCAACAGCTGTGAAGGCTCTGTCACAAAGTATGGTAGCATCTTGCGAGATGGATGGCTCAACGAGATGCCTTGAGAGGAGGGAAGGAATTAGCGGAATGGTGGTCTGATAGTTATGATTTGAGACAGGTAGGGAGGAGCCAGACCGTGGATGCATTTGAAGGTGAGAAGAAGTATTTTGTATTTTGAAAATAGCTGATATTATTTCATATATCACATCATTAATTTGAGGATGTTTGTGAAAATGTCTATGATATTATTAATGAAAAGTAGAAAATGTATAGAAACGTCATTTTGTGACGTTTGGAATTGACCATAAGTTAAAGCCAACTGTCACTGATTTCTGGCAGTGTACAATTGCGATGTTAATATCAATCCTTAACAATACTGAAGTTAGTATGCATTTACAAAATGACACTTCCACATTGTTACATACCCAGATCACCAGCAGAGAAGTATTGATTTGCCATTTGTTTAAGACCAGCTTTCTCCAGGGCAGCTTTCAGATGTTCCCTCGGCTCACTCTCTGTTTGCCCTTGACGCCATTTTCGAAGCATATTCAAAGTACCCATGTATGATACCCCTTGTTGTGTGTTTTCCTCATTGTAGCGATTTGTCTCTGCATATGTAAATCCTAGTTTCTTTCCTAAACCATCGACGACTACTTTCCCGTAGATTTTCTTCGCTATCTCCACCAATATATCGTCGAAATCTTCTTTGGAGTTGCGACTCATTTTGCCAACTTAGTATAGTAGAATGCTGTAATATTAATACAAAAAATCACGTGTACGTAATTATGATATTTGTTAAGATTGGGAGTATTATTATTGGTATTATTTTCTCCTTTTTGTAGATTCCTCCTCGAATGGAAATTCCTTTATTACACTGTGAGTGATTTCAAGTTCAGTATTGAAAGCTGGTCTTGGTGTTGTGAGAAAACAAACGCCAGCTACAACACCGAACTTGAAATCATGCTGGTATGAGGTTGACCTCGAAAAATATGATGCATTTCCGGTAGTCTGTGATGAGGGCTGGTGTTGAATGTCGTCTGCTGAACCGAGTATCACTGTTGGTGTTGATGATTTACGTGTAATATTCCCATTCACCAACACCAGCCCCTAGGGATTGGGAAATTCATGATTTCAAGTTCGGTGTTGGCGTTGGCGTTGCAGTATACCACATGTAACTATGCGGGCATCTGTCGATATGCTTATATCGCAAGACGTTTCGCCTATAGAGCAGGCACGTTTTTTTTGTTTTTTTAAAATCCTAGGCCTTAGAATATGTAGCCACCACTGAGCTAAGCAACACAGGGGTAGCTATGAAATGCCCACAATCATGTTGTTGGTGAAAATGTTCATATTACCCTCTTAACTGAGTGAGTCTGTGATGGTCGGCAGGATTCCAGAAATGATTTACCTTGGAAAAAAATGTTGCACTTAATAGTCAAAACATTAGAATGGAAGATTAATTAAACCAGACATAATTTTGGAAAGACACTTGGACTGTGTAATCAGTTGAATTGTGGTTTTCATTTCATATACATTTAAACGGAGATGTAAATGAAAACGTATTCCATTAACACATATTCATGAGTAATCCAAGGATATTTATTTTCATTAGTCCATTTATGTTTATCTCGATATTTGGCTTCTGCCCCCACGAAATCACCTCTAATAACGTGACATATATACCTATATATACCTAACTAGGCGTTGTGGCGTGCGCCTGTAATCCAGCTAAAAAGTGGAAGTTACAAACTGATTCAGCCGAGGACGCAGGTTCGAAACTGAGTCACGTCTTTCGGATGGTGACGTTTAAAGGTCGGTCCCAGACGTAAATAATCATATCTGATTGATAAACGTCTGTAAAAACCCAATACACACACACACACACACACACACATATACCACCACAATCCCCCTCCCCCGACCCAGGGAAGCAGTGGCGGATCCAGGGGGAGGGCCTGGGGTCTGCCGCCCTCCCCTGCCCTCCAAAAA